AAATAGATAGATATCAAGTATAATTGTGTTAGACCCAATTGTCCCATTTAATAATTAGTTCGGTTCTGTATCTAATTTACACACCAATGAATAATCGATTTGGGACTGGTCCACCCTATAACGAACCAGATCCGACCCATTGACAACTTTATTAAAAATAATAATTTAAAACAACTAATATAATGTAATTACTGATAAGCCACGAGAAATTAATATATATTTACATAGTAGGTTTGTGTTTTAATCTGGGTCAGAACAGGTAAAACCAATCCTAATCTTATTATAAATGAAACTCAAAATTAATAATCAAGACTCAAAATGCAGATCTAGATCATGTGTAATAGGATTGGCTTATGGGTTCAGGTTTGTCGGGTTGACCTGGACCATTAATTGACGGCTCAAAGCACCAAGTATGCCATTGGAAAGCCCAAAGGGATCTTATACACTTGTATGAAAAAATAAGCCCGTTTGAAAGGTCTTCAGCTTTGATTGAGCTGTGTTGACTGCGTAACCGTTTGGAAAAGATTTTCGGTTATAATATAATAGGGGTGAGCATTATTCGGTTAAAATCGAATAATCGAATCGAAAATTTTGGTTTTGATTTTTTTTTTATTTGGTTTTTGGTTAAATCGGTTTGTTTGTTTTTTTGGGTTTTTGGTTAAATCGGTTTGTTTTTTTTTTGGTTTTTGAAATTAGAATTTCAGTTAATTGAATTAATTGAACTTTTTATTATTATATGTAATATATAATATATAATATATTATATATTTATATATTAATATATAATATATTGAAATTTGATTTCATAATATATATTTTATAATATATAATATATATTATATATTATAATATATATAATAGAGTATATATTATTAAAATTCGGTTTTAACTGAAATTCAAACCAAAAATTTCAGTTTCGATTATTTCTGTTTTTCCAAATTTCGATTTCAGTTTGATTTTTATTTCTTTAATTTGGTTTTTAAAATTTCGGTTTATTCGGTTCGGTTTTTAACCGAATGCTCACCCCTAGTTCTAAATATCAATATGGGTTGACGTATCGGTCTCTGATGGTACATTTTTTTAAAGTTTTATTTATTTTTTTTTGAAACCGATTCAGAGGGGTCGGTTTAAGGCCCGGGTACCCTCTGAACCGGTGGCTGACTTGATACAACCCCTGGAGGGGCGTATCGTAAGCCATTGGCACGATACGTACCGGCCGATATGGGCCAATACATATCGATACTTTGAACCTTGCTTTCATGCAGCGATTTCATGAACCGAGTAAAAGTGTGTTTTGTTTCGTGGGTGTTTCATGATAGGCATTTATCAAAATGCCGTCATGTCATCACCAATTCAGCGTTTAGCCCATCATAATAATCCGTACATATAGATACTTACAAAAGCTGGCCTTGATTTATGTGCGCGCCTACCGTTGGGGAAGCTTCATTATAACGCTTCCCCTACTTATCATAAATGGTTCACATTATTACTTTTCTCGATTTTGAAGACAAATCAAGTACTTACATATAGATAATAAACGGAAGCTCTACCAAACACACACACACACACACACACACACACACATATATATATATATATATATATATATATAAATTTTTTCTTTTTTTTCTTTTTTTTATATTTTTAATCCATGTCATTTTCAAAACTACCAATTAGAAATTCTACTTTTCCCAAAAAAATCATCCTAAAATCTCTCTCTCTCTCTCTCCCATACGTACCAATAACTTAAATAATCTAATATCCTAAAGTTTCTCCTAAACAACCTCCCCCACTATCCCCAACTTTCTTATAAGTTATCTCTAATTTAGTAAAGAGTTTCTCTCATAAATTATCTCTAATTCTTATTTATCTTCTCTCCCACATTTTATCTACATCTATCTAAAGAAAGTTTGAATTAAAAAACTTAATAATTATTTAAATATTCTAACAAAATTATATAGTAACTTTAAAATATTTATTAAAAAGACAAAAAATAATTATAATCAATTTAATAATATTCATATTATTAATAATTATATATTTTTACAAAATTTGTCATGAAATTATGTACAAATAATATGAATTATGATTTTCTAGATTATTCAATCTAAATGTTATTCAAATAATAAAAATCTAACATTAAAAATAAAATATTATTTAAATACTTCAATAACTAAATATCTTAAATAACAAAATATTAAAATAAATATTTTAATATATTTTAAATATCAAATGAATAACTTTCAATTAAATTAAATARATTAAGATTTTAAATATTTAGTTAAAGAACTAAATATTTTAAATAACGAAATATTTAACATAACTAGATTTTAAATAGTTAAAATAACAAAATTATGTATTAATAGTACTATAATTTTATGGATTATTAAATTCAATAAGTAATTAATATTTTAAATTTTAAATAATGATATTATTTCAATAAATAGATAATATTGTAAATAATTAATTTCATTTATACCAATTAATAATTATAGAAAATAAATTTCAAAAAATTTATTGCTTATTAATAATAAATTTAAAAAATTAATTTTTATTTATTGTATATTTATCTATAATAAAATTAATATTTATTGTATTTTTGTAATTATTTATTGTTTTTTGTGATAAATATATTTTCAATAATTATGTATAAATATATTTTTTTTATTTAATAGAAAATTTTCAATAATTATTGGAGTTTGAACTACTGCTATTTGGCTTTTTAAATTTAATTTATTGTGTATTTTTGCCATAAAATTTTAATAATTATTGGAGATTAAACTATTTTTCACGGGTTGGTTTGGTTTAGTTGTAGGTTGTTTAGCAAACCAAATTGACCTGGTCAGGTTGGGGGGTTGGTCACTCAGGTTATATCGGTTTGGGTCAATTATCATTTTGGTCAGCCGGTTCAAAAGATTTAAACTTAAAAAATTAAGTTTAAATTTGAAAAAAAAATTCAATGGCATTATTAAAAAATAAATTTCTGATGTAAACTATTTTAGCCTAAGAAATATTGAAAATTTCCCACTTTCCCGTATTAAAAAAAGATATTTAAAATATAAAATATATATATGGTCAGGTCATTCGATTTTACTCAGTTTACAAATGGAAAAAGCAAAACTAATCCAACCTAGTCAAGTTGGGAAATTGTTGAACCAAAGAGGACTAGAAATACTAGAAATTGAGTTGGTCAGTTTCATTAGTTTGATTCAAAATGGAAACAGGGTGGGGTGGGGATGAAGAGCCTCTCCCTATCCCCGTCCCCATCCTCGCTAAAGAGGACAAAGTTATCCCCATCCTCATCTCCTTGGGGATCCCCACTCCTCGTGATTCTTTATAATGTTAACCATTATGTTTTTGTTTTTTATTTTATTTAAAAAATAAAAATAAAATAATTAAAATTTATAATCCTATTAGAAAAGATTCAAACATATTCAATCATATTTTTAAAAAATATTAACATATATATGTATTTGTACATATATACATATATAAACATATGTGTATATACATATATATTAGCGGGGATTGCGGTCCATGCAGGGTAAGGAGTGCTCTCCCCATCCCCACACTATCCCCACCAATAGAGATGAAAGCTTCCCCATCTCCGTCCCCGTTAGGGGAAAATCATTCCTATCTTTGCCCCATTCGAGGCAAATCTCCACGAGGATTGGGGAAATGGGAAAAATTCCATTCCTAAGTTTGATAAACAGAACAACCCTATCTAAAATTATAAGTTAATACAAGCGGGACTCGCACGATGCACGGAATTTATTAAGTTAAAGATAAACAATAGAAACATGTAAGAGTACACAAGTGTTTTATATAATAATTAATAATCATTGACTTAGTCACTTGCCACTTTATAAACCTATTGGCAAGTCAAATGCACTGGTTTGACCATCCAATTCGAATGAATGACCTGTTCCAATTTAAAAACAAAAAATTAAAATAATTAAAATAAAAAATGGTCAAAACCGTTGTCCAATTTGGTGGGATCGCTTGGATCAATAAGTCGTTGACTAAGTCAATGGTTTTTAGCTAAGATACCGATTATAGGTGAAATGGAACTAATTGTCTGGATGATTTTTGTGCCAAATGGTCCGACCATTCAAGTCAACGACAGTTCAAAAGAATGTTTTGTGAGAAGTGAAAACACTGAAAGCCCAAAACAATTATCTTTTGGTCAAAAGTATGACATTTTGCTTAAGACTGCGCTTATTTTCAGTGCAAATATAAGTCAGTGTAAAACTACACTCCTAGTCCGAATTTTCACGCGTTTATTTTCAATGTAAGTTTTACATCGATTATCAACCGCCGTATATCATACTCCAAAAAGTTGCAACGGTTCAGTCATTTTAAACCCACCGGTATAATCTTCATCGATGTACTTTGACATTGATGTACGTACATCTTTTAGCGGATTCTTGGTAGCAGAGCAATCAAAATTGGACTTAAACAAAACTTTTTCTCATTCATGGCTCTGATGCCATCAGCTGAATAGATTATTGAGATTTGATGGAGGAATTGTGAGATGTAGGGTAGGGACATGGGAGAATGAAGAAGAAAAAGTGAGTGGGCTCCACCACCACGGGTGGCTGATGTGTGGGCTTGCTTTGGGGCCCCTCATCAGGTGGTTGATCCAAAAATTCCAACCTCAGATTCGACTTTCAGTCTTTCAAATTTCTATGGCCCAGGTCCACAACCTCAAATTGGCCATCTTCCTCAACGCCATGTCTTCATGCCTTTTCATCGTCAATCAAAATAAACCCTTTCTTAATCATCATTCATCAAACAACCAATAAAATAAGCTTCCGACATCCCCCCTATTCAATTCCCTTCCCTTTTCTCCACTCTCTATACCTCCCGAGTCCAAAATCATCTTTTCACGTAGTACCCACAAAGGGCACTTCCGTCAATTTACCGTTTGAAAAATATAATGCCGCGCAAAGCCTGAAAGCTGAAACGGAGAGAGAAAGCAAGTCTAGAGAGAGAGAGAAACAGAACCAACGTAAATGTAACGATCGTACAATACCAGCTTTCGGTTTCAAATGGCGGATTCAACGAGCTTTCGCTCCAGAAAGCAAACAAACACGTCTCCCCCTTGTTATAATTCCCCCAACAACTCTCTTTCTCTCTCCAAAGCACCCTCTCTCTCTCTCTCTCTCTCTCTCCCTTCTCCTAACACGAGACCCAACGACCCATCCAAGAAAAATGAACAAAGACTAAAAAAATTACAAAACCAGAACACGCACAGTCTGATCTCTTCTCAACCCATCAACCCATCTCATCTAATTTCAGACCAGACTTCTCTGGTTCAAAAGAATCTGCATATATAAATAACTTTGAATAAATCTGCCTGTCTTTATCGCTGATTCTCTCTGTGTTTCTCTGACTCTGTTTCTCTCTCTTCTCCTTGTCTCATCTCTGAAATGGAGGATAGACGGAACCAGGGAAGCTCAGAGATATCAACGGTCAGATTTTCGATTTGTTTTGCTGGGTTTTCTAATTTAATTAGTCATTATTAATCTCATCTCTTTCTAAATTTAGAATTAATTTTCTTCTTAAGTTTCTCCTCCTGCTCTTGTCTCTCTGAGCAAATCCTGCTTCTACGGTTTCTATTCCCGTAAATATCGGTTTTTTTATTCGTGCCACACTGCCACAGTCGTTTTGCTCTTCTGTAATGGCTTCTCTCGAGATCTTCTTTGGATCTGGTGTCTGCACCTTCTGGCTTCTCATTCATTCGGACAGGCACGGACACGGAGATGATCAGTTCAATTGATGTTTTGTGAGTAGTGAAGACTGAGGGAGAAGAAAAAGAAGGTCGGTTTGGGGTTTTGTGTTCTTCTTCTGGTCCATGCTGTTGCAGTTGATATGGGCTGTAGAGGGTCCAAATTAGACGACTCCGAGTTGGTGATTCTGTGTAGAAAGAGGAGGGATCTCATCAGAGCTGCCGTGGATCAACGCTACGCCTTCGCTTCTGCGCACGTCTCCTACTTTCGATCTCTGCAGGACGTCGGTGAGGCTCTCTGTCGATTCGTCGACGAAGAACTCGTCATCAGTGCTTCTTCTCCTCCGCCTTCTCCGGTCCTCACGCTGCCCTCCGACGAAGGCAAGGGGAAGAGAAAGAAGAAAGTTACCAATAATTCTATTAATTCCATTTCGCAAACTTCTTTCTCCCACCTTCATTTGCTGGAGGAGGATTCCCACCTGCATTTGCCGTCAAGCAGTGCTGCTTCTGATTCGGATTCCTTGGAGCATAGAGTTGAGGGTAGCCCGGAAAAGCCCGTGTCCTCTTCTTTCTCGCCTGCAACTGATACGGCCTCCACCGAAGTGAATTCTTCATATTCGTACCAGATGAACTACATGAAGCGGTTACCCACTGCATTTCCCTCTGTATATTACCAGGAGCCACAAATGTCGCCCGCAACAACTCAGTGGTCTGATCCGTCCTACTCCTCTTACTCTGGGTATCCTCAGTATCAGATGGGGGGTGGATTCTCTGGCTTTCCGATGAATCCGCCTTCGAATGATCCTTACTACAGTAGACCACAGACTCCTCCGGCTGTTCCTCCTGAGCCTCCAGCGCCGCCGGATGTCTCCACTTGGGACTTCCTCAATCCCTTTGGTTCGTTCGGCGGTGGTTATCCGGGGTATTATTACCGCGGGAAATATGCGTATGGGTCCACTATTAGTAGTTCTGATTCAATGGAAGTCAGGAAGAGAGAGGGAATTCCTGATTTGGAAGATGAAACCGAGCAAGAATCGGTGAAAGGAGCACCGGAAGGGAAACAATTGGGGGAAGATAACAAGAAAAATTCAGGCGAGGGGACTTCAAAGGTAGCACAATCACAATCACAATATGATGACAGCGTCAGTTCAGTTCAGGACAAAGAGATTAGGAGCATCTCTGAGACGCTGGCATCAAAAACTACAAAGGAGTCTGCGAGAAAGAAAGGGGTGAATTTTGAGCTAGGAACGACCCAGGATGCCCAATCCTCAAAGCCGAGCAACTTGAGCACAGTAGTATCTCCCCAAGGAACGAGGGACCTTGAGGAAGTCGTGAAGGAAATCAAGGATGAATTTGCAGCTGCTTCTGATTATGGGAAAGAGGTTTCCGTGATGCTTGAGGTCGACAAACTGCGTTATAAGCCAAAGGGTGCCATACTTAAAGGTAGGACTGGAGTGTTATTTTTGAAATTTTCATTTATTTGTGGTTCTATATCGCCGCCAAGCAGTTATTATTTTGCTTAGCATAGTTCTGCTTTAGGGACAAAGACCTCTTCTATTTGTTATTTTGTCTAGATGACCTCTAGGTGTTCTTCAAGTCAAAATGCTGGCCACAAACTGAAAAGATTTTGTTTTATTTTTTGTAGCCTATGTTCTGACTGCGTGCAAATAGGCTTCCACTGAGTGGTGATTGGTGAATGAGTGATAGTTGWACCTTCCTGCTTGACCCTTATGCAAAAACCTTATTGGTTTCCTCATGAAAATCAGTTAAACATGATTGATAGACACCCAGAAAATGTCAGAATTTCTGGCTTTATATAAGTTGATATGTCTGAAATAAATTCAGTGGTACTAAAAGATCTGCAAATTTGGCCCGAAGTTATTAAGTCTGGACTTAGGCTTGGTTTACATTCAGATGAACCTAAGTTACTACTAAAAGACATTGTTCTGCAAAAGTTGGCACAGAGTTACTAACTATGGAGTTTGGTTTTATTTGCATGGATCAGAACATTGAAACAATATTTTGATATGATTTGGCTACATGATTCTTTGATCCAATTTTATTCTTGGTAGTTCTTGGGATAGGTATTTATGATATGAGCATAACATTTTGCTTTGGTAGCTGGATAATGTTTTGGGAGCACATATTACGAAAAGAAATTATGGAGAAAAGCATCTAAATATGAAGCTCAGTAGTGTGTGTGTGTGTGTGTGTGTGTTTAATCGATCTGCATGATTAGGCCATCCAATTGCTTCAACTGTGGAACTTAGTTGTCTTTCTACAGTGATCTCTTCCAGGATTCTAGATTTCATTCCTCTTCCCATATTGGCATCCTCTCAATCTCCATCCAAACAGCTGCATCGAGCTGTTCCTAGCACAGTAAGAACAGACAAGGCCAGCAGTGGGGGTTCTGACACCATTGATGTTCAATCTGGAAGTCTTTCTTCAACTTTAGAGAAGCTTTATGCATGGGAGAAGAAACTTTATAAGGAAGTTAAGGTATGCAATATATTTCAACTGGTTTGATCCAAATCTTTGGAGTGGCGATTTTAATTATGGTTTATCTGCCTATATTTATTCAGACATATCTTTATGTATGTGAGAGTAAACTAAGCTTCATGGAAATGGATAAATTGTCTTAGGACATCATAGAAACAAGTGATCCACCAGATTCTCTTCCTTGATATCATGCATTTGTTAGGGATCTGATGTCCTCTATGACTAAGGCAGTTGGCCATTAGCACCATCCTAACAAAAGAAAATAAAAGAAAGATCACGTCTTTTTGATTGATAGAACAAAAAAGAGGTCAAAGAGAGCCCCCATTGTAGAAAGAACCAAACATCATGAAATGAAGCTTTAGGACCATGGACCACCTCTGAAGCTTCCCTGGTGAGAGAAACAAAGGAATGGTTGAGAACTTAATTTTAGGGTCCACTTTCCAAATTAACATGTTTTTGAAAGATAAGATCATCTTCTAGTTTTTGAAATAAGGTCATACAATAACCTATCTAGCCATCAAGGAAGAGACACTAAAGATAAGTTCCATTATACCAGCAAATCATGACTGTTTGGGTCTTGTGAGGGGTCTACTGGATATGGACCTAATCTTGGGCATTTTTTATTTTTTGCACAAAGTTTGGGTAAACCTGTTATCATTTTGTCATAATTATCACTTTTGCTCAAGCCTTGCCCAACACTCGAACTATATGAGTTCAGTCTCACCATTTCGTTGCATCAATAGCCAGATCCCATTTATGCATTTCTCTCTCATAAGACAAATTATCAGTTTCAGAGTACCGCCCACAGACAAACAATTCACTAGTCTCTATGACCTGTATCCTCTGTTTTAATAAGAATTACTGTTGTGATTTGACAATTAATGTTTTGTTAGTTGAACTAGGAAAACTTTTGTATCTTGGTCTTCCAAACTTGTATTATCATGATCTTGTCCTCTCAAACTTTGGTGCTTTCACAGTCTTGTTCGGAACTCATGCTTTTAGCATGTATAATATCAATATGAATGTCTTAATGCTCAAGTTCGTGTGGTACCTTGTTTTGCATTTTCATCATCCTCAAGTTCTTTCTTAATGCTCAAGTTGATGTGGTACTTTGATTTGCATTTTGCTTGTCCTCATGTTCTTTTTTAATGCTCAGGTTCTTGGCCAATTTTCATTTAATTTGTTTAGCTGGTTGAACTAATTTTAGGATGAAGAAAGACTTCGAGTTATCTATCAAGAGAAGTGCAAGAGGCTGAAATTTTTGGATGAAAATGGTGTGGAGTCCAATAAGATTGATGCAGCTCAAGCTTTGATTGGGAAGTTGCTCACAAAAATTGATGTTTCTATCAGAGCTATAGATGTTATTTCAAGCAGAATACACAAGTTACGAGATGAGGAATTGCAACCTCAACTCACAGAATTGATTCAAGGGTATAGAAGTTTTTCTCTTCTATGTCTTAGATTCTTTTTTTTTTATGGAATGACTTAGATTTGGTTTCACATGTTTTACCATCAGAAATTAATCAAATATATGAAGGGAGCAAACCATGCTTGGCTTTTCACATATAGGACTTCTGTGATTAGAATTGTTTAAGATATCAACTATTTAGTTATATCAAGATTTGTTGTTGAATGCTAGTTTCTAGAAGCATCATGTTTTCTGTATTTGAATTCCTTTTATTTGGAAATGTCATTATTTGTTTCAGTTATTAAACAAAGCAATTGCTACTACTTAACAAGCAACTGGTCAAGTATAGACATAAAGATATTGCTGCATATTGGCATACCTTGTGAAAATTAAGTACCCCCCTCCCCTGAACATCGCACATTATTGTTTACATCTCTTATGAGAAATTCTGGAACTTCCACAGCTATATTAGGGATATTCTTATGATGTAAGAAAAAACTGTCCTTAATCAAGTTTTACCATGGTTTTGTATGCCATGCATCTCTATGCATGTAATGGTGTTACATGTCATCATTGTTACCATCATCATCTAAACATTGTCCCAACTATATGGGGTTGGCTACATTAATCTGAATCCTCTTCCACCATTGTACTCTATTCAGTGCCATACCCATTGTTAAACCATGGGCCCTTAAATCTTTCTTGTTACTTGCAACCCTTGTCCTTCTTGGTCTGCCCTTGTCACTAATATGTGGAATTAACTTACCAAGTGTTGCACATGTTAGAGATTTTAAAGGTGAGTGAAATTTTTCTGAAATTGGCAAATCAAATGAATGCAACAGTTTTTCTTAATTACTGAGAAAAAAAAAGAAAACACAATATCCTGCTTAACTTCTTAATCACAGCATATTTTCTAAATTTGTGGAGAAATGACAAGCTTCTATGCAATGTTTTTCTCTCAATCTCACTCTGAAAGCCTAATAAATATTTTTTTTATTAAAGATAAGGAACTGCCAAGGAAAAATCTAAGACTAGTCATACTCCTATTTATTGACTTGAGCACCATCTACATGCAATGCCTTTTTGTTACCTGAACAAATGGTCTCTGACTGATTGTTGATGTCCTGCACCCCTTCACAATGAACGTCCATACTGTGCATCCTTCCAGAGTTTCTGATATGGATCTTGTCAGAAAATTCCAACTTTAAGGCACAAGTTCTTGCTCATCCTCAACTCAACAGTGCTCAACTCAACTAAGCCTTGTCCTAATTATATTAGGTCAGCTACACAAATCCTGTTCTTCCATTCCAATCTGATCAGTGCCATACCCATTGTTAATATAGACCCCAAATCATTTCTCATACTTAATATTCAATTTTTTTCTTCCTTTCTTTTATGTTCCTTGTTACCATTCATGGCAGTTTTCTTCCCCATATTTCTCCATTCATAGATAGACAGATAGGCAGGCTTGACATATAATTAAATATTTGCTGAATGTGCTTAGCTTGTTTTCATCCTTTATGATTAAATAATCAGGGTATGTATTCTATTGTCAATGCCACCTTCTCAGATAATAGACAGGCTTTTGCATCTAATTAAATATTTTCTGAATATGTTCTGCTTGTTTGCATCCTTTGTGATTAAATAATCAGAATATATGTTCATTGTTAATGCCACCTTCTCAGAAGATCATGACTATATTTGCAGGTTGATGAGAATGTGGAATTCCCTGCTAGAGTCCCATCAGAAGCAATTAAAAGCTATCAAAGAAAGTAAAAGCCATACTCTAATGGCAAACACTGGTGTCCAAAAAGATGCAAGCTTGAGGGCTACATTAGAACTGGAGTTGCAGCTCCTTAATTGGTCTTCTTGCTTTTACTCTTGGATCAATGCACAGAAAGCCTATATTGAGTTGCTGAATGGGTGGCTTAAACATTATCTGGTTGACATTCCAGAAGAAACTGCCGATGGACCAATTCCCTTCTCCCCAGGAAGAGCAGGGGCTCCCCCTGCATTTGTTATCTGCAATGATTGGCATGATATTGTGGAAATTTCAGAGACTAAGGTGGCAGACAAGATGCGTGTCTTTGCCTCAAGCTTGCAGCAGCTATTGCAGAAGCAAGATGAAGAGCAACAGCAGAGACTAAAAGCTGCCTACCTCTCAAAGGATTTTGAGAAACGCCTGAGATCTCTACGTAAGGAAGAAAACAGAATGCAAAGGGGTCAAGATGCATTGTCAGACAAGACAGCTGTCTCAGTGGTTAATACTGAAAGTGGAGTCTCCCCACTGGATGATCTCAAGGTAGATTTGGATTCCATAAGAAAAAGATTGGAAGAAGAGAGAGCCAGACATAATGAAACCATTAAGCAAGTCCAAAAGGCTGCTTCCAATAGTTTACAGTCAGGTCTGCTCCCAATCTTTGAGGCCCTGGAAAGATTTTCCTCAGACACCCTGGAAGCATATAAACGGATCAGAATCCAGAATGCTGGAGGAGGCACATAAATAGGCAAATATGGCCTTTCATGTTTCAACCCTGATAAGGTTCCTGGAAAAAGGAACTCAACTTCAGTGGCCAGAGGTGGTAGTGGGCCACAAGGGCAGGGATTGTTACAATCACAATGGACATCGTAGAGAGCAATTTTGAAAAGATACATAAACATCACGGATTGGGAAATGCATGCATAACCAGTTATTGGACAGGCATTGGCTTGATGATTACTTCGTCCAAAACTTTGGCTCTTGCAGAATACCCCATAGTAGTTAGGCGGGATCTGTACAGAAATTCATTTATTGGTTTATTGGTTGACCAACTCGTCAAATGGACTGGTGGTTCCTTGGACTAAGAGGATGATTTACATGAAGGTATCAAAAATTTGAATGATCTTTGTAATGGTAAAGAGGAAATTGTGTTGCTCAGAAGGAGAAATTTTGGGCAGGAAAACTGTTGGTTTGATTTGCTGAAATCATCTCTGAAGTAATTTTATTTGACTTCCTCCTTGTTACCTTCTGTTCATTTGGTCTAGAATGGATGAAAATTTTCCGTTTTCTTCATTTTTTCAAATGATATTAAAAGGGATTGACTCTTTAGTCAAGTTGTTTAAGTGAGCTTCCTAGACGACCAATGAATTTTATACATGACAATCTAGTTTAAAACTTAAAAGAAGTCTCCGAGTTCTCTCCCCCACCATTTCAATCGTGGAAAAAAATGACCCCAAACACTTACCATTCATGTGAAACACCAGTTTTATAGGTAAGCTTTTTATTAGAAAACTAGAACTTTGAAAGGCTAATATTAGTTATAAAACTACAATAGAACATCCCTGGTAAGTATCATGTTGTGGATATGCAACGTACGCCCAAGAAACATGTGGACCTTTGATGGCAAATGTTGAATTTGCCAAAATTTACTACAAGAGCTATTACTAATGATGATTCAGCTTCAACAAGTCCCAAAGCCTTGCACACCCCAACTGTCATTAAATTTCCACTAGGAAAAGCTGTCCAAACAAACTTGCCCTCTAAGCTATCTTCAAAAGATGGGATCTAGATTCAATGGATGGCTTCACATCTAGCTTGATCAAAGTAATAGCTCAACATACCTACTCATTCGACCATTCATTCTCCATGTCTATTGGTTTCACCACTTTCTTCTATGAATTTTGTTCACTTCCTCCATCCTATTTATTATGTGTGAGTGTAAGGAAATGTCTTGCTTGGGTTTATTTGGAGTCATCACCACGTACCCACCTTGAGAATGAATTGGGAGTGATGGGTCTCTTGGGTTATTTTCATTTGAAATCATTTCAGTCAAATAAAAGACTCCATATAGAAAAAGGTACGAGTTTAACGGGTCTAAGTAAGACTTGGATGAGAGAGGGAAGGGGATTAAGCATTTCTCTCCCATTCCAATTGATGCGTACCACATGACAAATTCCCAAAATAAGCAAAAAAACACAAAGTACATAATCCTCAATTAAATAAATAAAGAGCGAGTGTAAAACACCTAAGCAAAGGGGGAGAAATTGCTTATTCTCTCGTGATTAACTTTTTTTTTTTCATTTATTGTTTTTACTAGGGAGAACACTTTGATTAACCATTAAAAGGAACCTACTGCCACACCTATAAGAACTTGAGCAAAAACAAAGTATTAGTTAGGGAAAATTTCAGATTAATACCCTGTACTTTGAGTCTAGTGTCACTTTGGTCTCCAAACTTTAAAATGCGACTATTCAGTACCCGAACTTTCAAAATGTGAAAATCCAGTACCTGCTGTTAACTAACTGCTAATCAATCGTTAAGTGACATTTTAAAAGAACACAGATGCCCTTCGAGTGTCATCTAATTTTCTTTTTCAACTATGCAAATATTGACCAAAAAAATTAGTAGTCCCAAATCCTTGTTTTTCTATTCAAAAAAGTTGGGGTCACCAAAATGCCCACTCAAATGTAACCCCAACTTTCTTGAATGGAAGAAGCAAGGATCTGGAACTTTTAATTTTTTTTGTCAATATTTAGATGGTTGATAAAGAAAATTAAATGGCACTCGAAGGGCATTTGTATCCTTTCAAATGTCACTTAACAGCATGTTAACTATTGATTAATGGTAGGTACTGGATTGTCATGTTTTGAAAGTTTGGGTACTGAATTATTATATTTTAAAGTTCAAGGACCAAAGTGACACTAGGCACGAAGTACGGGAATTTTCCCTATTAGTTACTACAATGCTCTTGGGCCATTGATGGCCTAGTACCTACAAGGAGGTGGCAAAGTTCTATATCTAGGGAAGGTAATTTATTATAGTCTCACTATTGTTGATTCTCATTTTTCTTCCTCTTTCTTCTTCTTCTTATTTTTTTTTATTCTTCTCTTTCGAGCTATTGTCAAGCAGTTGTTAGAGTTACAATGCTGTTAGCATGTTCATTTCATTTAGTTTTTTATATTCTTTTATTTGTGTTGTAATAATACATGGGGCGCTACTAGCCCATATTTTTAACTTTCCAAATTCTTTTATCTCTTCATTTCCCGTCTCCTCTTTTTCTTTTTCATTGTATGGTCTATTCTTGGATGAAAGCATGGTATTAGAGTTGATCGTTGGCTACTAAAAGCATTCAAATCATTGTTTCCTCTCACAATTCCCTGTTTTTTGAATTGTACGTGGAATAGAGGATTCTCTAATAAGCTAATTAAATAAGTTATTTTTTCTTTCTTTTGTGTTCTCTCTTGGTCATAACACAAAGAGAACAGTGGTGATAACCCAATGCAGTAGGGGTGACCTATTTTGGTGTCTTTTCTTCGTACCTTGTGCACAAGGAGTTGTGTAACCCCTACCATAGGTGTATGCAAACTATTTTTTCACTTAGCATGATATATGTGGACCGAAAGTTCTATGAGACCTAGAACCCTAGTGTTGTGTAGCTATGGTTGTTGAATCTTAGCAGTCTAATGATTTCTAGGCAATTAAATTAGTGTTCCTATCTTCCTTTAGGATCATAGGTGTTAAGGGAGTGGTATCTTTATCATTTATGAGGATTATACTTCTTCTAGGGTCACCACACCATAGGGAACAACCAGTGTAGGGGTTGATAACATGATGCCTCATATTAATGTTTTTGAACCATCGTTGATTCGGACGGTTGGACTATTCGGCTTGGAAACCATCCAAGCAACCGGTTCTGTTTCACCCTTAACCCATTCTTGGGTCAAAAACCATTGACTTTGTCAAAAAACCATTGGCCCGGGTGGTCGAACCATCGACTCGTTTGACCCGGCCAGCAGTTCGCAATATAAAGTTGTAGAGAGGAGAACTCAGATATGAGATCTAGTTTGAGACACGAACTCAGATCTGGGATCTAGCACAAAGAGAAGAAGAAGAAGAAAATATTTTAATAATATTTTTAAAATCTTTTTCTATATCTATTATATATTTATATTTACTAAAATTAATATTTATTGTTTTTTGTTATAAATTTATTTTCCATAATTACATATTTTCATTATAATTTGTTGATTAATATTTATTAGAGATTAAACCAGTGTTTTCAACCCGCTRTTGACCTGATCGGTCGAATTGTTTGAACTGTCACACAGCCAAGATTTTGGGTCTCGTTCAATCAAAATCCGTCATATGGTCAAAAACTGTTGACTTGGTCAAGAATTGTTGGACCTGGCCAGTTCAACTGTTGACCCCTTCGAGCCGGTCATTAGGCCGTGGGTTGCACATTCGATGCATGCAAACTTTCGAAAGCCATAACTTTGCACTCTGATGTCTGATTGGGGTGATTTTTTTTATTTTGGGCAACTTTTCAAGATTTATGCATTCCAAGGCGTCATAAGCACCTTGCCTTGCTATTTTTGTAAAAAAAAAACCTTTTTTGGCATCAAATTGTAATTTTTAATATCCTTTTTATAAATAAAAAATTAAAAACTAAGTTAAAAAATATAAATTAAATATAAAAATATATATAGCATATCTCAAACATATTTATACATTATTTATTGATAAAATATATATKTATACACATATATACATATGTATATATATGTACTTATACATCTATATAATGATGTGACATAGTGTGAACCGTTCAACCCGACTGGTCAAACTGATGACCTATGACCCAGAGGCAAAAATAGTTCAACCTCCGGGTCAATTTTTAAAACATTGGATTAAACTATTATTGGATATTACACTATGTATTGATTAATTTAATATATTTTCAGTATTTATTGTGATTTCATAAATAATGTATTTTTATTAGTTATTTTAATTTTGTTAAAAATTTGTTTCCAATAATTAGATATTAGACTATTAATTTAGCTAACTCTTTGGGGTTAATCCTTGTGTGCTTTTGGCACACTTAAGGACCTACTTTCCTAGCAACCTCAGTCAAAGTTCAAAGTTTTGGAAACGCTAAGCTTATAAAAAAAAATAAATTTAAGAGCCATATTAGAATACACCTTGGATATGCATGGATACGAACAAAAAATTAAGATGCAAATAGAAACACATGGAAACACTATAAATACTCCAATAAATCATAAATAAAAATCATATATTATAATGGTTTTTATGAAAAAGCATATCATAATCAACATATAGAAATAGAAACATAATCTCTAATATGGTTATAACTAAAATAAACCTATAAGTTAAAATATTGTCTATTGAACTTGTTTATTAAATTTTTCAACTCTAAATATTAAATTTATTATAGTTTACAAATTTTATATATGAATGTTAAAATGATGAATCTACAAGCTAGAAGTTAAAACATACCTTGATTATCTTCATAGCTTCATTAAACTGGTGAATGCTAACAAAGTGACAATGTTTATTAATAACCCATATAAGGCATTATTAAAATTAGATAATTAATAAATACACAAAATCATAAAAATTATAAAAATGATCATTACTTGGTAAATTATATACATAGAATCAGAAGCTATAGCCATTAATATCATTGAGAGTTATGCATAGGATCAAAATTACTTATATCAACATTATATTAATCTCTGACGTAACAATAATATTGGTTCTAAGTCATCCTAGTGGAATAGGAACTCACGTGTGTTTCCCTAAAGTACTCTTATTACTCTTAAGTGCATTACTGATGACGAATTTGAGGTTGATAACTTAATCCATAATTATTTGAATTGTATTATTGTGTACTTTGTGTATTATATGAAGATGAATCATTATTATGCCTATTATCATATCCCTCATCACCAAAATGCCAAGAACCCATTGTACATAAACTAGATTTAGGAGTGATAGCCACATAGCCCATACCATATCCATATTGAGAAGAGTTATAATCATAATTTAGAGATGATCTCAAATTCATGCTATTCATGTCATGCATCATTTCATCTTCATATCTATTATAAGTTTAGCTCCACTCATTTTGTGTTTCATGACCACAGTTTCCTGTTAATTGTAAATCCCTACATCTAGAACAATATTGTTTTTTATTAAATAGCATTGAATCATTCATAGATGGTCTATATTTGAGAATTCACCACCTCAATCACCTTGATTATAGTCACTTT